GTGTGGGTGGGCGGGGGGGCGCAGCCTCGGGAGCCTGCCCTGATGAGGATGCTCCTCATGGGGTGCTGGGTGCTGAGCACTGTCTGCCATCGTGTCCTGATGTGTTTTGTTCTTTTTTTTTTTTATAACTGTCACCAAGTGTCTGTTTTCTCATCTCCCCAGTGAAGCCTGTATTACTGTAAAGTCTGTAATTGGTCTCCTGGGGGCTAGATATATCTTGCAGGGAGGTGAATATTCTGCTCCTCAGGACTGCTTTGTCACTACCTGCTAAACAACCCTCTCTGGCAAGTGCCGTTTCCCCCTGCCCACCAGGATGGGGGCAGCGTGTGGCTCTGGGGCACTTTGGAGCCAGGTTGGATGTGGGTGCTGAGCCCCCTCCTCCCGTGCCCGTGATCAGCCCATCTCCGAGCCGGTCCCATCACCAGTCTCAGAGCTGCTGGTGTCCGGGTGCTTTTCCAGCATCCAGGGAAGCTGTGGTTCCACGCAGTGGCAGTGGGCAGCAGTGCATAGGCCTGTGTAGGTGACTCTCAAGCTCCGAGCCATTGTTCAGCGCATGGACAGGAGGAAGAGAGATACCCCAGTGTGGAGCAAGGCTATTTGCAAACTTCTTGTTTCCTGGTACAACTGTTTTTGAGTACTTGGAAGCGAAGAACTGCCGCAGGGCTCTGCCACCTTCTCATTTGCAGCCACTGTCCCTTCACGAGCACATTCCTGACAACCCAGCTTCAAACTTCCCCGGCTTTCCCCAGGGCCTGGAAAAGCATCAGCGAAGTGTCTTAAATATGGGAATGCAGATTGGGGTAATTAACCACTGAACCGGTTGTAACGAAGCTAGTCATCTCTCCCTGCACGCGTAGTTAGCTCTGATTTAATAGGCCGCCAGCTCCGGGCCTGGTCCGCGTCACATCAGCCCAGAGCCGTAAATGAAACTCGCAGTAAGTCAAGCGGTATTAAACTTTACAGTCGCTGTCTTTAAGAACGAGGCACTTTCTCTAATAAATCAGAACAAGTGGGATTGTAAATATCAAGGCAGGATCCATATCGCTTAATTAAACAGTGTCTAATGAACAGCCTGTTTGTTGCATTGTGATTTAGGATGAAGTGCAGGGCGACGGTGTGTGCTGAGGAACGCAGGTGCCCAGGCTGGGCTGCCGTTCCTGATAGGCAGTGGCTGCTGCAAATCAGCTGCTGCTAGAGCAGCTCTGAGCTGCGGAAAGCGGTGTGTGGATTATTATTTATTTTCCGCCCCCAAAAGTATTTCCTGCTATGAAAAACTTAAGAGGTGAAGTCAACTGTAGCTTTGAGCCCGGGAGGAGGAGAAGCACGGGGATCCGGGCTGGCTTTCCTTAGGAGTTGCGACAGCCATGAGAGCCAGAGGCGGCATCGGGACTGCACTGAGCTTCCCCCTGCTCCCCGCGACAGGCGGCGGATCCACCTCCGCTCGCCTGGGTATTTTTAACTTGTGTGTGAGGGGGTGGGAAGAGCCGTGGTGGAGCAATGGAGCAGCTTCCTGAGGCAGGGGATGGTGCAGACGAAGCAGACGGCGGCTGCGACTCCATGTGCCTGCGATGCAAATGTGGTGCAATGCACAGGAACCATCACTGCTTTGCTCTGAAGCCTTTCGTATTTGGGTAGTGAACTTTCAGCTGTTTTCAAAAACAAATAAAGTGGGGGGTGTGGATGGATTTATGAGGAACAGATTGAAAGCATCCTTGACCTGCTACTGTCAAAGGGAAACTGAGGTTGTCAGAGCTGAATCCTGTTATGTGTCCCCTGCTCTGTGCTGTCATGAACCGTAGGAGCCACCTTCTCTCCAGTAAGGCCTTTTGAGAAGCTGAAGGCCACACTGCCACTTCATTGCAGAAAGCTCCTGTGGGGTCTTTAACACTCATATCAATGTGCTAGGCTGAGCTTTCAGCACGGGGAGCAATTCCATATTGGGGACTGCTACTTGGCGTTACCCAGTCCCTAATACCAACTTCATCGTCCCAATAGGGAGACACACCAGGTCCCTCCGGTGGGGCAGTGTCCTGGTCTGGAGCTGGCTGCATGGAAAACTGCCAAGTTTAGCCCAGAAAAGCCATCTCCTTTCTTCTACCCTCCACTTCCCACTCACCGTATCCAAATATCAATGATGGAGAGCTGAGAGTGGGTGTCCTGCACGCACTGCCTTCCTGGCAGCTTCGCAGGGATAGGGGCAGTGTGGCCGTGAACACTGCTCCGGGAGGGAAAAGGGACAACCAGGGAAGGCAAGGGGGGACTGAGCGAGGGACTGTCATCTCCTGTGTCGGACAGGAGGATGCTTGTGCTGTGTGTGTGTGTCAAGTAATAAAGCCAAGGCGATAAGGACCAAGCGGTAAGGTAAGCCAAGGTGATAAGGACCATTCCCAGCCCAGTCCCTTTTGCAAGAGTCATTGACTAGCTACAAGCCAGGGGACTCCTCACGAAGCACGTAGGGACTCCTCATGGGGTACGTGGGCCAAAGCTCCAAGGTAGGGGAGAGCAAAGAGGACGCTCTCCCCATGCTGCTGTGCATCATCCTCCCCGTACCGAAATGCCCTGAGACCCCTTCCAGGGCAGGGCACACAAGGAGCATTGAGCCTAGGTTGTTAATCCGTAACCAGAGTGCTTTAATAATAAGAAAAAGGAATTAGTGTAGACCTGGCGGCTGCTGCCAAACTGTGGCTTTACTGTCCCTCCCGGTACTGGCTTTATGGCTGTCATTTCATTCCAGCTTTACTGTTGTTTTTTGCCCTTATCTCCTAGTTTCTCCTTGGCTCCTACTGCCTGTGATTGAATGAGCCTTTTAGAGCCGTAAGCACCGAATTATCCCACCCTGGCTCCAGTGTGCTAGCCACAGATTAGTTGCCTTCTTTCCACATCCCCAAATGTCCTTCCTGACTTGCATTGGGAACCAATCCTCATTTTGTTCCCCCAAATTGAGGTGCCTTCAGCTCCTCCAGTTCTTGGTGTGGCCCCTTCAGCTCATGGTCTTCTCCTTTCCCTTCCAGACCTGCCACTTTTCAGGTGTGAGAGCCCCCAGGGCTCAGTTTGTGGTCAGGGACCTGGCCTGGCAGCGCAGGGGACACCTGCGAGGCTCGGAGCCACCCACGTCGCTCTGGTTGCTATCTGAAGGCCCGGCTGGGCACTTAAGGCAAAAAGCAATTAAAAATTTTAAGGAGATGTGAAACACTCTCGTGCCCTGCAGCAAGCGGATCCGCGTTGCAGAGCACGTAGGAGGGTGCAGAGCTGAGTCTCCCCCCTGCCTTGGAGCTCCCCCGTCCCTTGGAGATCCTGTGTCAGGGACTCGCTTGCATGGAGCCGGGAATGCCCCTGTTTTCTCCCCAGAATGCCCCTGTGGAGAGCAAAGCAGGTTGGTGACATGCTGATTACATGCTAATGAGACCTCCTGCTGCCCGGGCTCGGCAGAGGTGCCTTGCTTGCATGCCGAAAAACACCCTCATCAATACCCACTGCTAAGCCAAACTTGATGCATAAAAGCCAAAAGTGCGTTTGCAGCCTATTTGCTTTGGGCATTCGGTCCCTTACTTAGCATGTCCATCATCCAGGGCTGATGTCCCCTTTTGCCCCAAAATGGTGCTGCTACCTTTTCAAGTCCCACCCCGGGGCTCAAAGGATCTGGCCATTTCCATCAGCTTCTGCCACATTTTGGGAACAGTGGGACCCCTGCTCCGTCAGAGCCTCTCAGATGCAGCTGGAAGTGGCTGTCAGAGAAAGGAAATGACCCCAAGCCTCTGCCAGGGATGACATCTCCACCTGCCGGGACCAGCTGATGCGTCGGGGACTTGGAATGATTATGATAAAGCCTGCGGGACACCGAGGGCATCACCGTGATTTGTGCTGTCTAAATGTTAATCAGAATAATAATGCCTATTGAGACAGCTGTTTTAAAAGGCTGTGCTGTCGGAGTAAAAATTCCAATAAAACTCTATTAGCCCTTCCTCGTTACACTAATGGTGCCTGCTGCTAAAAGCCCCCTGCTATAGACACCCGTATTAATGGGCTTATTACAGGAAATAAAATCTAAGGCTGAACATTACAGTGAAGCCTGATTAATTCAGCAAG